TTTGGATTTTGAAATGTATTAAGTCAAACCTCATAATGAAAAAACATTTGCTTTCATGTCAACAGCAAAGTAGAAAAAAGCTGTATGACAAGGATAAATGTATTCTAAAGTTTCATAACACTACTAAACACTAAAACACATCTATATTTAACAAAGATAAAAATATGAAAAGTTGAGGGTGTGGCTCAGTAGTAGAACCATTGTCAGCATGTATCAGGCCCTAGGTTTGATCTCCAGCACCACATTGCCAAATATGTACATATATGCAAATATAATTTCATGGGTGTATGTATGTGTGGATATGTAAGTGTGTATACATATAGATATAATATAAACAAGCACTGTGCAGAGACCCTAACTTATTATTATGCCATATATATATTTATACACACGCGCACATACACATGCACACACACACACACACACACACACACACACACACACAACTTTAGACAACCTCTCAGAGTTTGGAGAAAAAAGCTTCCACAATTATAATACAGTTATCTACTGGAGAAAAAATATTTATCAAGCTATATATTAGTATACAATATCACACCATGCTTCATAACTTTATAATTCTGTAGCATAGTAGAAAAAATAGCAGTAGTGTGCCTGGACTAATAATAGTAAAATGTGTAATGTATGTGAAAATTAACTTGAATATCTTCCCATTATTCTTCACAGAAAGAATGAGAAAAAATGATTGGTGAAATCAGGTTCTCCTATCATTTATAATTACACTAATAACAAAGATGACAGGGTTCCTATGACCTTGTTATTAATGTGGTAATATTAGTAATTATTATTCAAGAAGAAAATAAAGCTAAAATATATTTTAGGGATTTGCAACTTATTGATTAACATAGGCATTTGTGTCCACTTGCTGGAAACTTCAAATTTAAGTTCCCAAACACTATTCTTTTTCTTGCATATATATATAGAGAGAGATAGATAGATCTAGATAGATACATACATATAATAGTGTTACTGAAAAACATTTATAGCTGTGCTTTACTTTATATTCCATCTTAGATGCAGATAGTTGGACTGAATAAATCTAAAGTATAACTGAATGACCAAAAGATAAATACATCCTTTTCTGGATCAGACTAATTCAATCTATCATTGCAATAAAGAAATGAATTCACACACACACACACACACACACACACACACACACACAAATAGGTTAATGGGATAGAAATTTCTCTTCTTCTTTATGTTGCCCTCTCTCCTTCGGTCTCTTGCCTGAAGACATTTCAAATGCAATTCCCCTGAAAGCAGCAGATTTCATAGGCTAATGAATGGTTACCACTCTTGATACCTGACTAACTCTGGTCTTTTACAGCTTTTTTTTTTTTTTTTTTCCAGAGCTGAGGACTGAAATCAGGGCCTTGCACTGGCCAGGCAGGCGCTCCTCCACTGAGATAAATCCCAGCCCCATCCTGGCTAATTCTGTCCGATGTATATCTAGAAATTTTTTTTTGCTTTGTTGCTTCTATACATTTTCTGCAATTAAAGGCAAAAAAAAACAGTAAGTAACATTATAACTAAGTTATTTCTGCAGCACTTTCCCAAGTATTGTTTCTTCTATTCAGCATTCAAAATCAGATAAAAATGCTCCTTGAGTTTTTATGAAAAGTGAGCAATAAATTCTGAAATATTTACTAAGCCAAATGAACTCATTACTGTATTGTAAAATAGTTTAATACACTTTGAACAATGTATTAGCTGTGCAAACAAAACTATTCTATAGTAATATCATAATGCATGCAAACCTAACTGGCCTATGCTAATAAGAACTTAAAAAAAAAAGATGTCAAACCATTAGGGTATTTGAAAAAAAGCCAAATACCTTTCACACTCCAGAAATATCTTTCCCACAACTCTTGTGCACATATGTATAAATCCCCTAAACACAAAGAAATCTCAAAGTATATTCTTATTCTTTTATGAACTTAGTTAAAAATTAATGAACAAGAAATTAAAGAGACGGTGCTATAATAAGGTTAGAATATTCTAACTGAAAAACAAGTACAAGGAAACTATTTATACTCCTATAGAGTTACAAACAATTTTCCAGAGATACTTTGAAATACAATTTTATTAAGCAATGTATTCTTCTTACTCTTGAGACTTAAGACATAGGTCTATTTTACATTTTTAAAATGTAAATATTCTTATTAGAGTAATCATTTGATTCTCTATAAAAAAGCTCTGTGACCAAGTAGAGTGCTGAAGGCTTAGATTTTTCTTTAGATACATCTGTGGACCTCATCTTTCAACTGAGAGGATTCGTTTTCAATAATATGTAATTGACAGAAAATTGTGTTGAAATGGTAGTCTTATTTAATTCTGGGAACTTAACCAGTTGGATTGCAAAGACATATAGTTCTTTGTACGGAGCTGGATAGACATCCACAGTTTGAAAATATGCTCCAGCTTTCTCACCACCTTCACCTCAAAGTCACCTCCCAATTACACAGTAGTAAAAGTAAGACACTTAAATCTTATCCTGGAAGAGACAGGCTTTTTTTTTTTTTAATTAAAAAGGTAGGGCTCTAGCTTTAGAGATTTAAATAAACAATACCTCTAAGTCTGAGATAACTTTAGGACCTTCCCTTTATAGCTGCAGGCTCAGACTCAACACACTTGGTGAACTGCACAGATGTTGAAGCAGCTCTGGGTTACACTGGGGAAGAGGGAGACAGCAGACATTCCACAGCTGCCTTCAACAGCTCCCTTCCCAGGGGCACAGTTGCAGGCTCTATCAAGCTCAATCACTTTGTGCAGCAACGGGGGATCCCAGACAGGGGCAAAGAAAAATCCCAGGGCAGCTTAAATTTCTCCCAGTATCACAGCAAGAAGTAACACTACTTAAAGAATAACCAGTTATTTCCAACAATTATGTGGCCTCAGGCCAAAAAAAAAAGATGAAGAAGAACATCTGTAGTGAGAAAAATTAAAAATATTTCATATATTTTTTAATTTCAAGCTACTTACAAGAGATTTTTCCTTGGGTCTCTGTTATGACTTTGTTATAACTGAATATTTGATATCTGTTCTCAATCAACTTTCCTTTGGGTGGTGGTAAGAACAGTCAAGTTGGGCTGGGAAGGTGGCTCAGTGGTAGAGTGCTTGCCTTGCATGCCTGAGGCCCTGGGTTCGATTCCTCAGCACCACATAAGCAAAGAGAAAAAAGCCAGAAGTGGCGCTGTGGCTCAAGTGGTAGAGCGCTAGCCTTGAGCTGAAGAGCTGAGGGACAGTGCCCAGGCCCAGAGTTCAGGCCCCACGACCGGACCCAAAAAAAAAAAAACAGTCAAGTTGAAGAGACCCAGAACTTAATAGCCAGTTATACAGCTGTAACATAATACCTTCACTGTAGAATCTTAAAAGGATGAAATGTGTATGACTGTAATACCATGTTTAAAGGTATCAAACTCTTCCACTTTATGTCAGTTTAAGTTCTCACAAATCCTGTCAAATACTTAAAAAGAATATGGTATCACTAAAACCAAGCAGTTAAAGAATATTCTTCCCTACTTAAGGGTAAATGATATTAAGAAGGAATCCATTTCCTTAGGACAAACCAGAAAGGTAGAGACTATAAATACATGGTCCACTAAAGAACAGAAATACAGACACACAAAATTATATTTTTATATGAAACATCTTTGTTTAGGGTAGTGAAAGACAATTCATAGATGCCTGTGTAGTTTTTATATCTTGAATTTATAACAGTTACAAATATTAATTATTACTTTGTCAGAAAGCCATTATTATACCGTCATATAAGCACTGCAAAAATTCACCAGCTATGATATTAAAACAATTGTAACGATATTACAATTTAACAGTGTGTTGAATTACCTCATTTGCTCCTTCCAATGATCTCACCTCCATTTTATAAATGACAAAAGTAATTCATAAAGTCGTTGAATGAATAGATGGTTCATTCCAGAATTTAGATTTTTTACTGTAAATTCTATGCTGTAGTTATGTTTTACTGAGTTGAAAATGACATTTGCATGCTAATTAAGAACATCTTCCATAGTTTTAAAACCAACTTTAAAGGTTTATATTGTATCACTGAATTATTCTAGTCAGAGAAAAATAGCTTCTACATAATATATTAGTAGAATCTCACTTGTATTGCATATAATCCTTTTTCTCTCACTTGTATTGCATATAATCCTTTTTCTTGTCTACTATCTGTTTTCATATCCAGGAAGAGACTTACTTCAACTTAGAGTACTAGCAATGCAATTTCCTGAATGTTGTTATATCCTAATAATCTGAAATTTCAGTTGTTTCAGGTTGATTCTCAAAACTACAAGTCAAGAAGCAAATAAGTAATTAATCTTATGCTGTATACCAGATGTCGTAGCAATTAAATACTAAAAAGGCCTGAAATTTTACAATAAGAACACTTTCTGATTTTATATTGATGTTAAATATCAATAAGAAAACCACAGGCCACAAAAGGCGTTTGTTCAACAACATTCAGCCAACAATCCAGTATCTTATAGCAAAGAAAAATGTGTGAGGCAGAAGTCGATGACATATGGGGTGCGCCTGGAACTTCTGGTTAATGGAAGTTCCAAGATGTATTAAAAAAAATGATGTGTGAGTTGGTGGAAAAAACTGTAAGGCAAGTCAATTTTTTAATTAAAAAATTATGTAGCATAAACAATGCTAATGAGCCAAAAGTCCCAAGAGATTAGGATTGTATCTGCTTCATTTTAATGTTCCATTCACTTTTCATAGTGTACATCCACTCACTTGAAATACCTCAGGCAGAACCCTTTTGTTAGAATTCTGAAAATGTGCTTTGTCTTTGTTCTTAATAGCTCACTATTTTTAATTCAAGTTGTCAATTTCATGACAGATTTTACACACACACACACACACACACACACATACACACACACACACGTAGCAATATGCATGCCCCAAAGAGAGCCCTAAGATCTTTAAATCAATTGTCAGAAAATAAATACCTGGAAGTTCCTCATAAATTTCATCGTCTATTGGCCGACTACTTGGTGGACTACTGATGGGTAGAGGATGATCGACGTCATCATACAATTCTCCTCTTTCATCATCATCCTCAGGAATGATATCAGATCCCATATCTACAAAACATATTTCATAAGGAAAATTGTAAAAGAATGCAACAGATACTTTAAAACCATATCTCCTAAATAAACACAGCCCCCAAAGCTAATAGCAATATTGTTATGTACTATGTCCTCATTTTAAAACATTAGTTAAATTGATTTTTTTACAAATGCATGAAATTTAAAGCTGCCAACTGGTACTCACATGAAAGATGCTTTTATAAATCTGAGGTAAGTGGTCTGTATTAATACCAGTCACATTGGTCATTCCCATGGAAGCCTGGAAGCCTTTATAGATGAAATCTAAATCACTCAGTTATTTAATATTTAAAGACAGTGATAGTATGTTCATTTGATGCTCTTACCTTGTAATACAAATTTCAGCTGGTGTACCCATTCCTCTGCATCTTTGGGAGAAGCTGCTGTAAACTAATAAATAAATTAAGGGGAAAAAAAACAGTAAGAACCAAAATCACCACAGTAGAAATGAAAAAGGTATGTCTCATTCTTATCATTTCTTTAAGACCATTAGTAATTCTTTTCATGTCTAGTGGTACTTTTCGTGCAAGGATGCTTCTTATAATGTACAGTTAATTTTGACAAATCTACGTAATTGAAGCCAAGGATGATGGATTTGAAACTCTGATCAGCAGCTGGCAGCTGTGCAGGAAAAAAAAGCTGCTTCTCTTCATCAATGTCAAAGACAGAACTGATGAACAAAATTTGCCCTTGACAATTAGAAGACACCCATGAATTTCTTTAGACTGCTGGGTACAGTTTTCGTAAAAACGTTCTTGTCAGATTCCAACACACTACCTGACAATTTAATTAACTGGCTTTCAACTGCAATCTCAGATATTTAAAACTTATTAAACATACATTCCATATTGATGCATAGCTGATAGCTCTTGAATTACAGAGCTGATATGTGTCTTTATCTTCATTTTCTACCACATCCTTAAGCAATACAATATGCATTAACATTCTAATATTTTTCCTTTGATAATTTTACTTTCTTCCATGTAATTCCTTTAGAAAATCATGCAGTTCTATTACAGTACATGTAAAATGTTGCCCCGAAGTAATTGATAAATTACAAATTCACTTGCTCATTTTCAAGAAGATATCACTTGAACTAATCTGAAATTTTAAATGTATTTCCTCTTTATATGAATGTTCAATGTAGAAAAACCAGTACTTATTATTAACATGTCAGATGTTTTAACAAAAATGTTAATGTCTCTACAAATGAAATCTGAACATCTTATCAACTTAATTTCAAGGCAACATAAAAACTCCAACCTGATAGACACGTTTATCAGGAGCACAGACTTCAAAACAGCAATCTTTCTTTCCATCCTTCCTAAGGGTGTTATTCATTCTGACATCATAGCCATCTATTGCAAATTCACCTTTCTGTTGTTTGTCTGTTAAAGATAAAACCAGAGTTATAATTTCATTTACCATAGTGAATATAAATGTGAAGCTATCTTTTACTTAGATTTTCTTTGTTAACTATTGAGAGTATTTTTAGTGAGATTGCTTTAGTAATAAATGTATTTTAATTTTATCTAAAATCCATATTGCTTTTAAATATTAAACTATGAAAGTATTTTGAATAGTTAGGCCTAGAAAAAAGATATCTTAGGGAACCAGAGGAAGCTGTCTGCAGATGGTGGTCTTGTTCAGAAGGAAGTATGGAAATAAGATCCTTGTATATAATGGGGGGGGGATCTAAGAACTAGAATTTAGAACTGCCTAGACAAACCCATTACAATTATATGGCTGCTTCAGATTTAGAAATATGGCACAGTTCATATACTTGAAACCTGCTTAGCTGTCTTCACCATTATCTCCTTTGCCCAATCTCCAATTTTTCCCCTCTAACACCAAGAAAAAATGGGAGAGATTTCTTAACTAGACAGTGTACAGTCAGATGACTAGTAAAAACCACACTTAAATCTTAAAGAGCCAAAGAATGGTTTGAGCTTTTTTTTCCAGACATTATTTTGAAGACAATCTAGAAATGAAGCAAAGGATTTAATCCTCTGAAACAGAATAAAAATAGTCAGCTTCCCTATTTCACTCAGTTGTTCCATTTTTATTTTACAAAAGCAATTGGTTTATTTCCTATACTAACAATGTTCAAGCCATAAGTGAGAACAAACTATCTTTCACTGAGCTTAGAGAAAATACATGAATGCTTCCATAGCATGGAAGCCTTCTCAGTTCAGGTGTCAACATAGCATAGCTCCTTTTTAAAAACACACTAATTTAAAACCTAAAGTCATATATATTTTTTAAAGTTCAGGGAAATCATTTATTTTCAAAATGCCAACTGAGAAAAAAATATGAGTTAGAAATTTTTTACACAAACCTTGACAAGAGCCTAATTATCTTTTGTCACAATCTGTATAACAGATGGCTGAAAAAGCATACTCAAAACTTTTAAACATATGTGATTTACAAAATGTACAATGATAGCCAGGTACCAGTGTCTAGCTACTCAGGAGGCTGAGAACTGAGGATTGACTGTAGTTCAAAGCCAGCCTGAGCAGGAAAGTCCATGAGACTTTTATCTTCAATTAACCACCAAAAAGCTGGAAGCAGAAATGCGGCACAAGTGGTAGAGCACTAGCCTTGAGTAAAAAAGCTCAAGGATAGTGCCCAGGCCTTGAATACAAGACCCAGTCCCAGCACGAAAACAACAAAAAGTATGCAATGAATTCTATGAAATTAAAAAAAAACTATACTATAAAAATTAGGAGACTGGAGTATGTCTATAACCTAGAACTTGGGATCTGAAGGCAGGACTTATGAGTACAATGAAGGCCTGAGTTACAATATACTGTCTCTGAACACACACATACATACACACATACATACACACAAAACTATGTATATACATATATTATATATATGCTATATATACATGCATTAAGTGTAAAAATTATAGTATATTTCAAAATGTATTTTATTAAGTATTAATAGAGTTTCTATGATCAAATAAGTTTGGGAAGCCATTCTACAGAATTAAACAAAATCCATGTGTCTGAGGATACAGCTCAGTAGTAAAACACTTGCCTAACATGCACTGGCACTGGGTTCAATCCTCAGCACTGCAACAAAAATAAAAAGCTAAACAGTTTTATGTGTCTAGATTATATAGATATGCCCTCTTAGGCCCTTAGTGTATTTATATACAGATTGAAATGCTAAGAAAAAGATTTAGCATGCAACATTTCTACACATTATTCATCTGTGGGATCTCTTTTTACCCAGGACAGATTTTGCAAAATGCCTAATTGGAAAAATATTGAGAAAAAAGTATTAAAATGATTGCTAGGTAAGTATGGTTGGTTCTTCTAAAGTTCTCAAAGAAAACTGAACCACTCATTCAATCATTTAACACTTACCAGTTCTCTCCCACTTTGCCAGTAAAACACACACACACACACACACACACACACACAAACACACACACACACACAAAATTTAAGTGCACTACAAATATTTGTCAATGGCCTACTAGACTGAAAAGGGAATTTAATGTCCACTTCAAAAATGTTAGGATTCTGAGGCAAACTATTAAAGCGATCCAAATCAACCATGAAACGTTTCCTTAAACCCCTCTGAGACACAAGAATTTAGAAACTAGATTTGGATAAAAGGTGCCGCCCTGATACTGACTAGTCTATCTGACTTAAAGCTGTGTTTTCTACCTCTCATTTGCATCTAAAATTCCTACCAATGTAACTTGAGTGGAGGTAGAAATGCATAGGAGCAGGAGTCACATCAGGAGATGCAAATACTATAATGACTAGATTTGGGAGAGCTAGGGAGAGCAGGAGACCTTCCTGGGATAGAGTATCTAGGGATTAAAAATAATCAAGCAGCAAAACCAAGTGGTCCCAACTTGCCTAGATGATCCACTTTAGACAAAACCTTCAGAAATATGCTCTGAGGCCATGTATCAGAGCTTCTGTTAGAGGCAAGGAGAAGAATCACAGAAGCCACAAATCCAATTTATGATAAGCATTCTAGATTACAAAGATAGGTTCAGGGAGAAATAAAAGAAAAGCAAACAATCAAAACACATCAGCTTCTCAGAGAAAACTTCATCTTTATACATACACCACAGTGCTGAGATAATTTCAAGAACACCTGTTGATGTGACACAGATTGTTAAAAACAGTAAAATGACAATTAAGGAAAGAAGATCATGTAAGTTTATTTTTTTTATCTATGTGAACTTCATCTAACAGAAACTTACTCCCTTCAATTATGTATCCTTAAAGCTTATTCCACAACCCTTTAAGCTTATTCCCAAAACTATAAAAGATATTAGCCACTGTGATGGAAAGCTTTCTCAGATATATATCCCACCCCCTAGCTTTACAATGTCTTTTAAACACAATACATTTTCTAGACAATCTAGCAGTATCATTTTCAGTATGAGTCTTTGTATTATGTTACAGCACATGGATGCCCTCAGGATTTTTGAGGTGTTTGGGCTTCTATTAAATTTCTCTCAGCTTCTATTTCACACTTTAACCTTGTCTCTATCCTGCTGCTCTAGTTTAATGTCTACAGAACTGAAGGCTGCCAGGAGAAACCAGATAATGAAATCCATTTAGTCGGTAACCTAATTTTACACAATTCTAATTCAGTGCATTCAAGGTAAAAAAGCAGTTGGTTCTGATACCCTACAAAACATGATACATGAAGCTAATGACAGCTGGTCCCTTCTTTTTCACTGGCATTCAGGTTCACTGCTATATCTGCCTTTTTTTTTAAAGCAGCCAGAAAGGCAACTCACATTTACCGGACTCCTTCTAGATGTCAAGAACTTAATATTGAATATATTTTGCAATAAGTCTAAAGACAGTACATTATTGACATTGACAGGAAAACAAATCTTAAATTAACCAATGTACTCACAGTCACATAAACAACAAAGGGTAGAAAGCTACCACCCTAGAGCAAGCCTGATTGCTTTCTAGAAAGAATATTTCAAGAATCACTTATCCTGAATGCCTGCTGGAAATGCAGAAAAGCCTATGCTTTGTACTTGCCATATAGGAATCTTCTGGGAGTAGATTCAGGCAAACAAACATTTATCAAACATTCTGATGATTTTGATCTATACTTATGTTTCAAAAACCACTGTTTTAGATGGAACACATAATTTATGAAGACAGGCAGGGAATAAACATTATCATGCATTTCCTCCCACACATTAGGTCATACTTTCTAAGCTTCCTCAATGGGCCCTCCTACCTTTGCCTATCTCCAAGAGTCATAATGGACTGTGTTCTAAATCCTGCTCTTTCCTAATTTCATAGATCTCCCTGGGCAATCACACTCAATTCTGGAGATGAACTTCCTATCATTACGGTTGTGACTCATGATACTCTATTTCAGTCAAGCATTCAAACACTGTGTCCAAATCTTTACCGGCTCACTACATGTTTCATCTCTTGAATGACTGTAAGCATATTGAATAGAACATGCTTACAACAGATTTTGTATCTTCCTCCCAACACTCATGATACCAACACTGGTGATACTGTGTGTGTGTGTGTGTGTGTGTGAGAAAGAGAGAAAGAGAAAGAGCGAGAGAGCGAGAGTGAGGAGAGAGAGAGAGCGCACACGCACTGGTTGAACTCAGGGCCTGAGTATTGTTCCTTAGCTTTTACTCTCAAGGCCAGAGCCCTACCATTTGAGCCACAACTCCACTTCTAGTTTGATTTTTTTTTGGTAGTTAATTGAAGATAAGAGGTTTGATTCAAGCTTCAATCCTCAGATGTCAGCACCTGTAGTAGCTAGGATTATAGGTAGGAGACACTAAGGCCAGCCAGTATAGTCCCTCCCATCCCCCACATCAGTCATAGAGCTTGAACTCAGGGCCTGGGCACTGTCCCTGAGCTTTTCTGCTCAAGGCTAATGTTCTACCACGTTGAGCCACATCTCCACTTTTTTTCTGGTGGTTAATTGGAGATAAGCATCTCATGGACTTTCCTGCTTGGGCTGGCTTTGAACCACAATTTACAGCCTCCCAAGTAGCTATGATTATAGGTATGAGCCACCTGTGCCTGGCCAGTGATACTTTTTAACATGGCTCCCATCTCAATAGGTACTACCTCCATTAATTCAAGCTATCAAACCAGAACAGTAATGACCAGTTGCGATTTCTACTTTTCCTTCACAAATCTCTCCAACTTCTCCCATATATCCACTACTGCTTGCCAATATCCAGTTAATCCTTCCTTCTATCAAACACTCAAGCACTTATGTTTGATTAATTTATTGTTCATGTAAGTATATTTGTTTTATCTCTACTTCATCAGCTTTCAGAGAATATGCATAAACCACCAACCACTCTCAAATTCTTTTAGTATAGCAAAACTATAGCAACTAGCTGAGC